AAATTTTATTTCAGTAGTGTCTTATAAGTAATATCAGTAATTTAAAGGTGTTTTGCTGACAGAAAAACTGAGTCAATCGATGTTGTAATTAGAAGTAATATTTTGGGGGAAGGACATCCTTTTTTCAAGTCTGATAAATACCATGTTTATTTTTCCCTTTATTTTGTTCGTCTTTCCTAACTTTACATGCTTATTTATTTTTACTTTAGATGTTTATAAGAATTTCTACAATGTTTGAAGAATTCACTGAGAACCGCACTCATTCCAGGGTAAGAGCACTCAGACCACCTCAGTCTCCTGCTATTGTTAACAGCCAACATCCTGCTGCTAGTTCGTGCTGCTGAACAGTGAGCAAAATAACTTCCTCGAATATAAAGAGAAGAACTGAATGAGCATGCCATTAATGGAGAGGGGTATTTTCTCAGCACCAGTATTTTCCCCCAGCCCTTCTCCACCTGCTATCGGTCAAACCATTGAGTAAAGAAATAAGGGGGGGGAATGCAGTATGCTTGTGCACGTGCACCTGTTACTCCATGTACAAAAATGGAATGGGGAAACAGAACCCTACTGCAGCCGTCAGCATGTGGTACAACCAAATTGTAGTCTTCTCACTGAGAATGAATTCTTGGTCTGCAGGCTCAGCTCCCTTTTAGAAGATGCCTCCTGTCTGCTGCTGGAACATAGCCACTGTGTCTTGATCCTCCTGTTTCTAATTCTGCCGGTATGCCTGCTTCATTGATTGGCTGCCCATCAAATCAGAATCTGATCTGCCTCATTGACAAACCGTCATTCACAATGGGCTTTCATTAAATGGCGTGCGCTCCTTAGTCTTAACGTGCCTGCCATCTTCAAAGTCACGTGATCATTGTTCTCAGTTGTGGCACCTTCCTCTGGTTTCTTGTGACCATGGCTAGTGCGGAATTCTCTCAGCTGCTGCTTTCCAAAGAGTTGCCGTGTGTGCACTGAACGAGCAGCACCAGGAGCTGCAGAAACTATGTCATGTCTCCCCAAGTTCCGGCAATCTTGATTTAGTCTGGCGGCTTTCAACTTTTCTTAAACTTGTTTCGCGGCGAGCAGACCGGATTCTTAGCGGAGACAGGTGATTCTGGAGATTGCTCGCGGCTCCTTCCCTGTGAGCAGATTCCACTTCGATCTGCAGGTGCTGGACAGACTCAGCACCCCCATTTTTGCTCCTGGTTTGACCGCCCTGTTACAATTCTTGCCTTCCCAAAAGATTCACTTTGAGAGGCACAGAATGGGATTTTCACATAAAGAAATCTTATAATGAATGGGGGGGGGGGGCCTTAGGCAGGTGGGGAGATAGAAATCACTCCACTAACCTGCACACCGGATTCTCCTGCTCTATTCTACAACTTTAAAGGATGGAAAATATGGCAGGATTCTGCATACGGACACTGAGGCTGAGGGCCCTACTCTGGGACCCTGGCCTCGGGCAAAGCCCTGCTCTCCACCAGGCACTCCCAGCCAGGATGTCACGCCGCTGGCACCTCCCCCTGCCCATGGGTGACTTTGTACCTGGCCCCAGGAGCAGCAGAGGATACTGCCCAGTACATACTCCCGGGCCAGCACCCTGAGGTGAGGAGATAACGTCTCCTTCACAGAGGGCTCCTCCCTTTCCTGAGCCTCAGTAAGTAACCCCCTTCCCCTCCCACGCAGGCTCACAGCAGGGAGGAGGAACCAATGCCTTCCCGGGACAAGAGTAACTAGGGTATAGGTTCCCAAGCCAGTTGGCCTGCTACCTCCTCTTCAGAAAAAATAATTGCTCAGCACTGGCTTGGCAATTAAAGACTTTTATGCGGTAGCCCATAATGCAAGAGGTGTGGGTACCTGCTCCTGCGGCAACCCCCCCGGACTGTTTGAGCAACTCCCAGGAAACACATGGGCCACGGTGGACCTGGGGGAGGAAGGGGAGGGCATTCCAAGGGAAGCAAGGACTCTGGGCAAAGGCCAGGCCACCTCAGGAGGCGGACGCTGGAACCTGCAGGCCGGCCGGCCACCAGGCAGAGGAAACCGCTGAGCAGTTGGCTGTCTGGTCTGCTCCTTCCAAGTCCCTCCGCAGGCTCCCTTCCCCCACCCCGGCCCCACAAGTTGAGGCCGGAGGAAGACCCCCCAATCTGAGTCCTTCTCTCCAGTGCACCCCTGAGCGCACCCTCCTCCCCCACCAGCCCTCCAGGAAGCAGAGGCCAGACAGGGGAACAGGGACGCACTGCCCTTTATTTGCATCTCTGGGAATACTGTACAAAGGGAGTAAAAATCCTATTCACACTTGGCTTAGAAAGATTTCGAGGTGAAAGTTCCCTATGATACAGGGGCTAGGGGTGGGGTGCCAGGAGGCCAGAAATGGGGTGGGCGACCTCCTCTCCTCCCACAGGCACCCACAGCTGGTGTCCGGGAAGTGCCTGGCTCTTCCCACTGCTCTGCTGCGGCAGCCCACCAACCCAACCAGGCCCACAGACGCACCGCACGCCACACAATGGGGACCCTGCCTGCCCCTGGGCCTTCTGCAGGAGCGGGCCGGGAGGCAATGGGGCTGCGTGAGGGTCCCCAGGACCCACCATTTCGGTCCAAGGGTCCCCACAGCCCTCACACTGTACCAGAAGGCAGTGTCATGTAGGACTTGGGGGGGGGGCTCTTCTGTCCACCACCACCCCGCATGCCAACCCAGGAGCTTCAAACCCACAGCAGCCTCCCTCCCCTATTACCAGCACCGTGCTGCAGCTCATTCCTCTACCCCTGCCCTCCCTGCCACAGCCCCGCGGAGGAGGCTGGATCTAGCTTGGCACCCCACCCTTCTTCCCCCCTCCCTCCCCTCTCTCCAGCTCTCTGGTCCCACTCTCCTCAGCATCAACTCATCCTCTCCTCTTCCCTCCCCTGGCATCCGGGGCCAGGATGGCCGAGACCCTGGCTCCACACCTCTGAGACAGGGCAGCCTCACCCAGCCCCACCCACAGCTCTCCTCTCCCTTCCCAGCCCCGTTCAGTGCCGGGCGGGTGCTAGAGGGAGGAGGCAGGCGTCAGTGTCCCTCCCCCCCATATATACTAGCACCCTGAGTGTCACCCTAGAGCCTTAAGAGTTAAAGTGATCTAGAAGTTGTATCATCCCTTCCGCTCCCCTCACGGGGGTTAAAGTGCTTTGACCCCCTGAGGGCCAGCAAGTGAGCAGGGGGTGTCCCTGACTTCCCACCCCATTCTCTCGGTCCTGGTCAGCCTGGGAGCCCCGCCCAGTCCATGACCACCCCAACGGGGTCTCTAGTGAAAAGGCAAAAGGAAAAGATCAGGAAAATCACAAGGGGCCACAGCCCCACCTCCCACCCCCACCAGGGGCAGGGGGGCCACCCCAACCCCACTACAAGGTACTCCAAGTCGGCTAGTGGGGAAGCGAGGGGGACTCCGAGGCCCAGAACTCAGCCCCTGTCTCTGGCAGTGAGTGCCCAGAGGCTCCTCCGTCCAGCATCAGCACAGGCCTTCTGAGCCCCCAGCATCCTGGGCGGGGGGCGGGCCTTCAGTACTTATTGATCCCAAAAATCCGGACTCCGTGCAGCTGCGGCAGCTTGGGGATGAGCACGCTCATCAAGGACACAGTGTTGAGGACGAAGTGGACCTGGTCGTACTTGGTGTAGAAGCTGGTGAGGAAGTACCTGGCGAGAGGGGCGCCACAGAGCGGCCTGGGGGTTAGTGGACAGGCCTCGGGACCCCTTCCAAGTTACGCCCCCTCACCACAGCCCAGGCCTGTGGGCCCATCTCACAGGCAGCAAGGAGGCCCACAGACAGTGCCAGGGAAGCCCCGGGCCGGAGCGAGCCCAGTGTCACAGACCTGGGGTTGCTCTCAGGCTCCCTCCCCTGCTCAGTCCTACCCAAGGCTCAGAGATGGCCAGGTCTCGGGGTCCACAGACCTCGTCCTGCCCGCCAAAACACTCACAGCACAATAGGTGTGATGGTCAAGAATTTCCGAGAGGCCGTGAACTGGACCCCGTAGTCCATCTGCTCCCAGTGGGTCAGCAGCCTTGCCTTGCCCTGGTCTGGGGTCTCGAAAGGTGTCCCCTTGACCGTGTGCAGGAAGATGTACATGCCCTGGAAGGAGGAGCCTTTGTTAGGAGACAGACAGGTGAAGGGCTCCTCCCTCCTCCATCCCTGTCACACACAGACAGGGTTCCAGGCAGCCTGGTACCCTCCTTGGCCAGGAAGGCAGGGTGAGCTAGAGGGCAGGGTGCAGCAACTTGAAGCTGGGCAGAAACAGCAGGCCCAGCGGGTGAGAGAACCGGGGAAGAGCTCAGCAAGGTGTGGGCCGGCCATGCCTGCTCCTGCCGTCCGTCCAGCCTAGCCTCCACCCGCCAACCCCAGCCAGCTGGAAAGGAGGTGCCCCGGCAAGAAGAAAGACGGCAAGAAGAAAGACGGCGGGAAGCAACGAGGCCTGGGCCCGCCCATTGAAAGGATATGGAGCAGTAGCAGGGTAAGAGAGCAGGGAGGATGGTAGGAGACCCTAGCTGGGGAACCAGGCTCAGCACCAGGACTCTCGGGACCTGGGGACTCCTGGAGGCTCGGGTAAGCTCTCACCCTGGCCCAGGCGCCGTTCCACCCCATCCTGGAAATGTGCACAGAGACACGGGGCTGGGACCCAGAAGAGGGTCTCTGGGGACAGAGGTGGTCAGCCCGCCACCCTGCCATCCGGCCATGTCGGGCTGACTCCTCCCAGCCCGAGCAGCGGTGCGCGGCCTCACCATGTTGTGGATGAGATTGGTGAGGGTCCAGACGACAGGTACGCTCACGAAGGGGATGCTGAGCAGCACCACGTGCAGGAGCCCGATGGCCAGCACGTAGGACAGCCAGATGCCGCGACTGTTCATCACCCGCGTGTTGGGGTTCACCTCGCTGTGCGCCGTGCCCACATTCATCCTGCCGCCCCTCTCCGCTGCCGCTGCCGCGGTTCTGCAAACAAGCAGCACAGGTGAGACAGGTCGCACCACTTTCCCTGCCCCCTGGAGCCAACTGCTCCCCCCTCCCCCCCAGTGCGGTCCACTGTTCCTGGTAAAGTCCATGTGGGTTTCTGCCCTCTGGCTTAAGACTACAGCAGGCCACCACAGGTCATCCAGAGGCGCCCAGCCCCACAGTGGGACAATCCGTGTCCAGCCCAGAGCCACCCCACAGCAGGCCTGTGAAGGCCACCCTCCATACAGCCTGCGGCGAGCGAGAGAGACCACCCCTAAGAACCCTTACTGAGCACACTCCCTGAAGGCCTGATCCGAGACACCCCCCACCCACAAGTCCTTCACGTGACGGGAGTAAAAGGAGGCGGCGGCAAGTGGCAACTTGCTACCGGTGAAGAACCGCTCCTCAGTCAATCCTGGGCCTCCCCCCACTCCCAGCAGGCGACTGCGGCAGAGAGACAGACAGACAGAGGAAGGGAGAAAGGGAGGGAAGAAAGGAGAAGACCACCTTTGCCCAGACGCAGACGCTCTGCCTTGATGGGTGACGCAACACACACGTCCAGATGTTTCGTCCAGCTGGCAGCCACTCCGACCAGCCCTTGCGATGCAACCCACTCGGCCGCCCTTGTCCCCACCACAGGAAGGCGGGACAGGTCCGGTGGCCCACAGCCACGACTCCAGCAGGCAGCTGGAGTCCACATCGACACGCCCTTCCCAGACTGACACAGTGGACACCAGACCGTGCCTCTGGCTTGCCTCCTGGCCTCTTTCTCCTCTCTACCCGGCCCCCACCGTCTCCTTTCCCAGCCCATTTCCAGGTGTAAGTTATACCAGGCTTTCCCCAGCTGCCCAGCTCTGCCCAGAGCTTCAGTGGGAAGAACCAGGAGGGCTGCCCTTGACACCCAGGAAACCATGGTGGCAGCAATCCAGGGTAGACAGAGGGAGGTGGTGAAGATAAGGGGGGGAACAAGCAGTCCCTCGTCCAGAGCTCCACTGGCCCCAGATCCCTGAGGGCCTTGGGACCAGCTGAACTGGGAACAGAAGGTGCCTGTGCACTGGCTTACCTCCCTGGATAAGAGAACATCTTGCCTGATGAAGACCCTAAGGTCATCACCATGGTTAACAGCCCCATCTTTCCCGGGATGCAGGAGGGGGTCTCAGACGAGGCTATCCTGGGAATGCCCAGAGGGCTCCTCCTTCACCCAGCCGCAGGCAAGCCCTCAGAGTCAAGTTGCTGGCTATCTCTGGCCAGGATCCCAGTTGGGCCTGCATAGCAGCTAGAATCCCCAAAGGGCAGTTTCCTACTTCCAGAATAAGAGGGGAAAGTTTCCTTTTCTCAGACAGCCCCAAGCTTAGCGACCTCAAGAGAAATGTGATCCACAACACTCCTTCCCAACACACACACACACACACACACACACACACACACACCATGCGTGGAGGCCACCTGAGGAAGCAATGCTCCAGAGTCTGGTAGCCCAGCCCATTAGGCCGGGTAATTGGGCCTCACAGAAACGGAGCTGGGAATCCAGCTTGGCCTCCGTTGTTTACCTTCACTTAGCCTAACACAGCCCCTGGGATACCTCCACCTGGGGAGTTGAGGGGGAGGGGGTGCTTCCCAGGAAACGACTAAGGAGAGTGGAAGAATTCCCCCCCGTCTGAGAGACACTGATAGCCCCCAACTTTCCCTAACCCAGACCTATTGGTGTGTGAATGGAGGGAAAAAAATCCAGCAATCCCTTGCCACCCTCTCCCCTCCCCCAAGCCTGAACACTAAATCCCCAGAACAGCAAATCCCCAAAGACTGTGTGTGCGTGTGCACACACACACACCCCACACACACTCCCCCAAAACCACTAAGAAAGGGCCGAAGAAGGGATAAACTAAAAAAAAGATTGGCAGCCAGAAAAGGCCATTGAGACTTTTGTGTGAGACCTTTCATCTCCATGAGTAAAGGACCAACTGACCTGTCTCCCAGAAGGGGAGAAAGGGGAGCAGACGCTGCAGAGGTAAAGCTGTGTCCCAGGAGCTCAGGCTGAAAAGTTAGGCGGCTCTAGCTGGCAGGTGGCAGCCTGCAACAGCCCCAGATGTGGTTTCGTAACTTGCCTCAAACAGGAGCCTGCAGCGACTCAGTTCTGTTAACCACTTTTCTGCCAGTGGTTCTTTCCCACTCCGCCCCTCCTCCCCCTTCCTCCAGCTCCAACTCACCAGATCCCGGCTCTGCCAGTCTGGCAAGACACCCAAGCCAAGGCTAGTGTGTCCCAGGGCGGCTGTCAGGTGAGACTTCCAATCCCTCCCCCAGGTAAGAGTAGATGTCTAAGCCTAAAAGCTTTAGCCTTCTGAGTTAAAGGGCCCAAAACACCCACCCTGGACTCAGACTGGTCACCCCCACAGTGCCACGGGCATTTCCCCCTACCCAGCCCCGCCACCGTTCCTCGCCTCAGCCACGATCACGACCGGACCTGGGATCCAGGGAAGAGAGTCCCGAGCCGCCCCCCACTAGCGAGAGAGGGAGGAGCGAGGAGGCGGCGCCCTCACCACGGTCGGGGCTTCCACAGTGGGATCGCCCGGGGGCAGGGGCGCCAGTCGCTCCGCTCCCCGGCGGGGGACCTCACGCTCGGGGGCAGGCCCGCTCCCCGGGGATCCACCCGCATCTCCACGCTTTCACTTGGCCCTGGAGGGGGCCAAAGCGGTGTCCCCGCCCCTCCTCCCCGCCCCCCGCCCCCCGCCGGGGCGCCCCTCCTCGACGCCCCGACCCCGGCCTCCCGCCTCCACTTGCCTCGCTGGGCACCCGCTCCCTCGGCAGATGCACTCCCTCTACCCCGGCTCCTCCGGTCCGAGGGTGCTCTAGCCCGGGTCCCTTCCTCGCAGCCCCCACGCCTCTCTCGCCCCGCCTCAGCCCGGGGGCCTCCCTACGCACCCACCCCGCAGACCACCGTCGGACTCACCCTGCGGGCCGGAGGTCGAGGGCCCAGGAGAGGTGCCCGGGGGCGGGGGCGGGGGCCGCTGCGGCTGCTCCTCTGGCAGCTGGAACAACCCGCGGCGACAGCCACCCCGCTGGCAGCTCCTGCCGAATCAGCGCCGCGCGCCGGCCCTGTGACGTCACCACCCCGCGCCGGGCCGCCCGGTGCCTCCTGGGACTTGTAGGATTTCTGCTCCCGCTCTCGCCGAGGTCTCGCTGCTGCCGCGCGGCAGGACGTCTCAGCCCCAAACAACGCCAAGATCACACTTTGGCTTCGAACGGTACCTGCTTTTACATCCACCTGCTCCAAGTGCTGCTTCCAATCGCCCCCGTTTTGCAGATGAGAAAACAGGGAGCTTTAAGTAACTTGCCCAAGGTGGTTGAGGGGTCCCAGGCTGAACCAGCAAGAACCCAGGATCTGATCCTCCCCCTCCCCTCCCTTGCAGGGTTTTCCCACTACACCTAACTGCTTTGGCCCTACTCCCAGATTGGCTCTGCAGAAAGCCCTTTGCCAGGCCCTTTGCCCTCCTGGGTCCAAATGGGAGCAAGCCTTTCGCAATTTTGGCGAGGGGAAAGGGGCTGGCAGAACAAGAAGGTAGCTTGTGGGCAGCATTTGTCAAGGCCTGTGCTGGCTTGCTCCTTCTGTTGGTCCTTGTCAGTTATGCTTGGCCACATGCTCGGCCTTCCACCATCGGACATCAGAAGAGGCCACGTGTCAAGAAGCCTTACATCAGTCTGTGTGGTCTGGGAAGCAAGTCGCCACCTCACTGGGTCTGCAAGTTTCACCCGCGTGCTCTAAAAGCAGGGGCGGATTTTCCAGAGTGGTAGTGGCAGAGCAGGTGTAGCGTTGGACTGTGAGCTGAAAGGTTGGCTGTTTGAGCCCAGAAGCCGCTCTGCGGGAGAAAGATGAGACTCTGTGCTTCAGTACAGTGGCACTGTCTCAGAAACCTTCATTCTACTCTGTCGTGCGCCTCGCTATGATGCAGTGGGCGGTCATAGCATAAACATTCTTCACCTCTTCACCGGCCACCAATCTCTAATTCCACACCTGTGAAATCCGACCTCTGTGCTTGTGAAATTTCCAATGGAGGGAGAATACCTGCTGGACTGTGGTGAAAACGGCTTCTGAAGTCTCCTTGGCTCACTCCCACGAGGCATATCACCAAAGAGTTGTGTTTGGGTAATTTCCACTTGTGTTAGTCTGGAAGAGCAGGGTGACATAACGTCATGGCATGACATACCTGACGCGCTGTGTGGACTCGATTCTGACTCATAGTGCCCATCTGGTACAGGCTAGAGCTGCTCCATCAACAGCCCTGGGTTAGTACGGAAGCAGATCACCGGGCCTTTCTTAGTCGGTAATGCTGGGCAGGTTCAAGCTACTAACCTTTAGGCTAGTACAAACCTACACCTCATACGCACTTTTTAACTGGCTGCAAATTTACTCTGAAAAGAGTGGGGGGGACAGGACAGACGGGGCTAGCTCAAAGCTGGGGACCGCTTCCCCTGTTCCTGTCCCCTCCCACCCCCAATGGGGCAGCCAGGAAGCAGTCATGGGTTACCTGGGGGTACCTAGTGGGCTTCAGGGAGATGAGGATCACAGCAGGTGGCTCCTTGAGTGTTTCCAGGACCATTTGCCCCAAAACACCCATTCCAAGACCTAGGTATTTCCCCCAGAGGTTGAAAATGCTCTGTCTATGCCCTTACAGAAGTTTCTCCTGCCTTGTGGCTTTCTGCAGACACAAACAAACCACCCGGGTTGTCCTTTTCACAGAAACCTCCACCTCATGGAGAAAAAGGCGGGGGGTGCGCATCTATTGTTTTCTTCCTAAAGTAAGCCCACTTGGCCCATTTGACCTCTCTCTGTCCTCCATGGAGTTGACTGAGCCCTTTGAATCTTTGCCACATACTTCAGATCCTCACGAAGTTCAATACCTCAGTTCAAAACCACCAGCTGCTCCACAGGAGAAAGTCAAGGCTTTCTACTTCCATAAAGAGTTCCGGTCTCAAAAAACCACAGGGCAGTTCTACCCTGGCCTATGGGGTCACTATAAGTCAGAACTGACTTGAGAACAGTGAGTTTGAGTTTTGAACAGAAAGATTACTGGACATGTCATGTCGTATTAATTAATAACTCCCATGACCTCATGTTTTCACAATGGAAGTTGTTATGGACTGAATTGTACCCCCCCCAAAAAAAGTATGTTGTAATTTCTAACCTCCTACTTCTGCTTATCAATCCCAATTGTGCCTTTGTTATGTTAAGAAGATAGAAAAAGGAAATGAGCTAATTCCAGGAACCCAAGAGGAAAGCGAATTTTGAGAATGATAAGGGCAACAAATGTATACATGTGCTTTACACAATTGATGTATGTACGGTGATGAATTGTATGATCCCCAATAAAATGATTTTTTTTTAAAAAGGAAAAAAT